CTTCTCTCCTCAAACACTCGTTTCATATCATAAAACCCATCCAAAGTACTAACAAGCTGAAGCAAACCCATGCGTCCTCGTGCATTTTTTACTTCTCCATCGCTATATCTCATTTCTCTTTGTCTTCTTCACATACATCCAGAACAGCCTTAACACACACAAACACCCGCACACCAAACATAGATGTTTACAGTAGATCATCTGGTGCAGTCTTTGCAGTAATCCGTGTCTGGGATCGATGCTCTGTCTCTGCGTATGCACTGAAAACATGCTGCCACCACATGTGTCCTTCCAGCACTGCATATAACACGCGAGCGCTTGCTCATCTCCTGCAGTGAGAGCTACAGGGCTGTTCAGTGAGCAGGGATGATTATGCATCGACACAAAGACCAGTAGTCAATAGCTGTGTCAAGGGCCATTAGTTGGATTTGGACTTTATTTGATACTGTCAAAGTGTGAGTCATACAGTAATGATGGACTACCTCAGTTGTAAATGTGCTGTGAATTCATTGTACATATCGTGATCATGTAGAATGTAACATATGATTTAATTTGTCCCCTTCAGCTGAAGTGTGTCTGTAGTTTTCTTTGACAAGATTTCTTTTGAAATGACTGGCTCGTACAAACATGTAAACAAGGCAAAATGCAAAATAGAAAAGGGTTGGTTCTCATTAATAAGCACCCCCCCTCCTCCTCCTCCTCCTTTCTCCTCCCTCCATAATTTTTAATTTCACTCGCATTTCATAAATGTTCAAGGTCATATACTCCCCAAAGTCCCTGATGGTTTCTGATGCACACAGTCAGGGTTTTTTTCCCCAAAGGTAAAAGTAAATTTTTTAATTCCATATTTGTAACTGGGAATAATGAATGCATTTAGTATAGCACAGAAATTGACATATGCTTCTTAATTAATTTGAACAAAATTTCGAGCTATGCAAAATTGAACATGCTCCTTCTGTTCTGTGGTTTCACTGCATTTCTTGCACTGACGGCAGAGACTGCTAAACTGCTTAAAGGGTCATTTTTGTAAAGTCCTTCTCCTTCTAGTAGGTAATGTAACTGCTAAACATGGTTGGCAGATCCATAGTAGATGCAGTGCAGTAGATAAAAGAGCCCCGGCACTGATGCAGAATCACCAGTTACAGCAGGTTGACAAGGAACTTGACTGGTATAATTGGGTTGACGTGCTATAAGACAGCTACAGCAGAAAGGGCACGATGTCTTTAAGACCCGATATACATTGTTCACAAGACTGTACTGCCTTATGCTATATGGAAGCCGTAGAATTATTAAATATGAGCCTATGCAGGTTTAAAGCCTTACACTGATAACTTATTTGATGCAAAGACAGATTGTGAGCACCAAATTCTGATCATTCTCTTAAGTGAAGTCATTGATTATTTCAGATTCTGGAAGAACAAAATCTTGCAACTTTAATTCAACATGTAAACAACCACTGCTGCTGCTAAGATGGAAAACTGATATCAGGTGTGAGATGAAGAGGCGATAATGAGTTTTTCAGCACTAAATCTAAAGTGCTGTAACTGCAATTACTGCAGATTTCTTATTTTAGCTCTTGGTAAACACAGAGAACTATATGAAATTGAAATGTAGTCAGTGTCGCTCATTAAAGCCATAAAGCGTGAGCGCCATTACTCGAGTGACGAGCGAGCCTGGAGCATCACATTAAGCGGGAAGCATGGACGTGTGCAGACAGACGCGGCTCTTGTTATATTATATTACCAACAGCCGTAGCTGGAGATCGGGGATTGCTGAAGTGAGAGGCTACTTTCTACACAAGCAATAACAGACTGATGATGAAAGCTAGATGGCATCCCATAGAGTGGAGGTGTGAGTGTGTGTGTGTGTGTGGCATGTTATGGTTGCCCTGGAAACCCTGCAGTTACTTGTGCCTGTTAAGGGCCTGTTATAATTGGGTCCTCCTTTCATATTATTCACTGTGGTTTCTCCCCAACATGACCTCCCAGTCCTCTCCACATCGCACCATGCAGGTGTCAGCCTACCCAATGAGTTCAAAGCTTTTCAAATGCACTGCAAGGCTTGTCTGGGTGACTGGGACAGCACTGGAGGTGAAGGACAAGGGAATCAGTGATCTTGTGTTGAATGCCAGCCTCAAAGTCAGTGAAGTTATGATATAAATCTATTTTATATCATAGAGGATCTAGAGGATGATTGCAGAGGATGATTTACTCTTTTCTTTCATTCAGTAGTGTGTAAACTGCCTTGGCTGAAGGTCAGTTAGTAACAAGCAATGGTGATAACACTGTAGCAGGACCCATGGTGAGCTCTATTCATGCTTTCTCTTCCTCCCAGAGTCTCCAGTCTGAGCTCCAGCACGGTCACAGCTTCCTGAAATCACTTAGGGAGCGAGCAGAACAGGCGGCAGGCTTCCTGAATGAATCTGCAGCTGAAAGTTTAGGAGGAGAAGTAGAGGCGCGTCTTTCCCAGCTGGAGGAGTTAGCCGGAGGCCTCAGGCAGGAGCGCAGCTTCCTTGAGCGGGCATTACTGCTAGCTAAGGAGTTCCAGGACCGGTACAAGGCTCAGGCTCAGTGGCTGGTGGAAACCAAGGCTTTGCTTCGTACGCCAGTGGAGCCCAAGGCTGAGCTGTATCAACGCAGAGCACAGCTGACTAAGTATAAGGTATAGTATAAAAAAAGTGAGGGGGACATCTGGATTAATTTTACACTAAGTGATTTTTTTCTCTTTCAGCAAGACTAATATTAGCATAATGAACCACATGAGTGACCTTGCATGTCTGAAAATTAACTTTAAAAGTAGATTTGCTTTAAATGACTGCTGACCATTTTCCAGAGTCATAATGACAAATGCTTATGGGCCGCTTTAACAGCTGTTGGCATTAATAAGTAGACCCTATTAATAGTAAACTAGATTAAAAAAAAGCTTAACATCTAACGCCACATGGCATACTCTATGGTGCGGAAGATACTGAAGATAAAGCTTGTCTGTTTGTGTGTTTTAGGCTCTGTTGCAGATGGTTCAGTCCCATGATGGAGCCATCAAGTCAGTGCTGGAAAAGGGCGACGCTCTACTTTCCTCTGTCCACTACCCCTCCATTCGAGATAAAATTAGCAAACTACAAAAGGACTACACTGGACTTTGTAATACTGCATTGGTGAGAAGCTGTACACACATGACAGTAGTTCTTTTTGAAAAAGAGGACAAACTAATGTAGTTTCCATGCAGGCAGAGCAGGAACTTTGGAATCAGCTTCACATAAATTAAGTGCATGTGGATGTTTCTAAAAAAGTTGTGTAAAACTAGCTTCTGATAAAAAATTAAAAAAAACACTGTTGCTTCTCAGTGTCAAAGAAGCTTTCCTGCCCAGCTGTTGCAAATGCATTGTCATCAGTATAGTTTGTCTGTGAACTGTGTGGTCCAGGCTCATGTGGAGAATTTGGAAGGCCAGGTGAAGGAACAGGAAGTTTACCACAACGAACTCCAGGAAGTGGAGCGCTGGTTGCTGCAGATGTCCAGCAGGATGGTGACCCCTGATCCCAGTATTAGCGGCAGCCTGGAGGCAGCCACTCAACAGCTGGCCAGACACAAGGTACCCAAATAAAATATTTCACTTTTGCTGTTTTT